AGGCCCCAGGCTCCAGGAGTCCAATTGGCGAGAAAGAGGGGGGTTTGTATGAGTGAGAATTGTTGAGACCAAGGTTGGAAAAAGCACAGGGACAAATAGCCAAACGAATGGAAACACATGAACTATGAACCAATAGCTGAGGAGCCCCCAACTGGATCAGGCCCTCTGGATAAGTGAGACAGTTGATTAGCTTGATTTGTTTGGGAGGCATCCAGGCAGTGAGACTGGGACCTGTCCTCAGTGCATGTGCTGGCTGGGAGGAGGGTACTGGACCTGTCTGGACTGAATCTACCAAGTTGAATTCAATCCTCAGGGGAGTCTTTGCTCTGGAGGAGATGGGAATGGGGAGTGGCCTGGGAGGAAGGTGGGGGGGGGCAGGTGGGAGTGGGGAGAACAAGGGAATCTGTGGCTGATGTGTAAAATTAAATTAAATTATAAAATAAAATTTAAAAAAATAAATTGCCCTTCTAAAGAAAGGACGGGAGTCATCTCTGTAATCTAAATGAATGAAATGCTGCCATTAGACCTGCCTTACAAACAGTAGTAAAATAAATCAAAAAGATAAAAAGTGGTGTCTGAAAATTTGATCTATCTATATAAAGGAATATCTATGAATAAATAAGTAACAGCAAAATAATCTTTTTAATTATTAATTTATTCTATATATAGTTTATTTAATATGTGTTAAATAGAGATAGTATATATTAAAATATAATCCACATGTATGTTAATATAGTTAATATTTATTATATTAACACATAGTAGATATTTAACATAGAGATAGTGGCAAGTTTTGTCTGGAAAGATTTGTCTCTTTCTCTCTCTCACACACCCACACACACACATAAACACAGAGTCCACACATGTGCCATATATAGATACTATATGCATATGGATGCATGCAATATATACATCATATATGTGGATATGTATATAAATATGTATACATATATGAATGTCTACTTAGCAAATCTGTAAGAACTAAAGGGAAAAATGGAAGAAGTGGCCATAATGAGGCTATAATACATGAAATTCCTATACAAAGTTAATTGGCTTCTGATATATTAGCAATTAACAAATTTAAAAGAACTATATCATTTTTACTACCATCCCCAAAAGCAAATTCCTAGGTATAGAGATAATAAGAGAGATAGTAGATCTATATGAGAAAACTACACAACTCTGATGAAATTTCTAAGAAATAAGTAATTGTTCAGTGTACATTGATAGGTAGAATCAATGTTGCCAAGGTGAAAATACTTCTCAGGTTCAACTTTAAATTTAATACAGTTGTAATAAAAGCCTTTTAGTCTGCTTTGAGAACACAAGCAAACTGACTCTAAAGTGTATATGAAGAACTACAAGAGCTAGCTCGGAACTAGAGATGAAGTCAGAGGACTGATGCCCCTGTGCTGGGGTCAACTGTCAGCTCCACACAACCAAGAATCATCTGAGAAGAACGTTTCAGCTGAGAAATGGCCTAGATCAAGTTGGCCTGTGGGTGTGTCTGTGGGTAATTGCTTTGATTACTAATTGACATAGAAGATCCAACCCATTGTGAGTGGCACCATTCCTGGCTTTGAGCCCACTTAGAGTACTAAGCTAGCAGGCAGTATGGACGCACTGGTTTCTCTCTGCTCTTGACAATGGATGTGACTAGCTGGCTAAAGTTCTGCCTTGACTTCCCTAAAATGATGAGCTGTAATCTGCAATTTTTTTTTTTTTATTTTTTATTATTATTATTATTATTATTATTATTATTTTACAACACCATTCAGTTCAACATAATAGCCACAGAATCCCCTGTTCTCCCCCTCTCGCCCACCCCTCCCCCCAGCCCACCCCCCATTCCCACCTCCTCCAGATCAAGGTCTCCCCCGAGGACCGGGGTTGACCTGGTAGACTCAGTCCAGGCAGGTCCATTCCCCCCTCCCAGACCGAGCCAAGTGTCCCTGCATAAGTCCCAGGATTCAAACAGCCAACTCATGCAACGAGCCCAGGACCTGGCACCAATGCACAGCTGCCTCCCAAACAGATCAAGCCAACTGACTGTCTCACCCGTTCAGGTGGCCTGATCCAGTTGGGGGCCCCTCAGCCTTTGGTTCATAGATCCTGTGCTTCCATTCATTTGGTTATTTGTCCCAGTGCTTTATCCAACCTTGGCTTCAACAATTCTCGCTCATATAAATCCTCTTCTTACTCACTAATTAGACTCCCAGTGCTCCACCAGGGGCCCAGCCGTGGATGTCTGCCTTCAGATTCCTCAGTCCTTGGATGGGGTTTATGGCACCACTATTTGGGTGTCTGGCCATCCCATCACCAGAGTAGGTCAGTTCCTGCCGTCTCGCGACCATTGCCAGCAGTCTTTTGAGGGGGTATCTTTGTGGATCTCCGTGGGCCTCCCTAGCTCTCTGCTTCCTCCCCTTCTCACCTTCTCATGTGGTCTTCATTTACCATGGTCTCCTATTCCTTGTTCTCCCTCTCTTTTCTTGATCCAGCTAGGATCTCCCACTCTTTCCCTCGACTGTCGCCCTTCATTGTTCCCACTCATGACCAGGCTATTCATGTAGATCTTGTCCATTTCTCCGTGTCTTTTTTTGGGGTCCCGTTTTCCAGGTAGCCTCACTGGTGATGTGAGTAGCAGTCTAGTCATCCTTGTTCCACATCTAGCATCTTCCTATGAGTGAGTACATACCATATTTGTCTTTCTGAGTCTGGGTTACCTCACTCAGGATGATTTTTTCTAGATCCATCCATTTGCCTGCAAACCGTGTGATGTCGTTGTTTTTCTCTGCTGAGTAGTATTCCATTGTGTATATGTGCCACAATTTATTTATCCATTCTTCAGTTGAAGGGCATCTAGGTTGTTTCCAGGTTTTGGCTATTACAAACAATGCTGATATGAACATAGCTGAGCAAGTGCTCTTGTGGTATGATTGAGCATTTCTTGGGTATATGCCCAGGAGTGGTATAGCTGGATCTTGGGGGAGATTGATTCCCAATTTTCTAAGAAAGCGCCATATTGATTTCCAAAGAGCAGATTATGGTGGCACATACCTGGAATCCCAGATATGAGGTGGTTGGAGCATGAGGATTGAGAATTTGAGGCCAACTTAGGATGCATAACAACTGTGTTCTTGCACAAATGTGTGTGTGTGTGTGTGTGTGTGTGTGTGTGTGTGTGTGTGTGTGTGTAGAAAGAGAGAGAGAGAGAGACTGAGAACAGACAAGAGACAGAGACACAAAGATAATGAAAAAAAGAAGTACAAGTTCAGAAAAATACCTGCAAACACACACACACACACACACACACACACACACACACACACATCAGATAAGGGACTGTTGTTTAAAATGTACACAGAAATCTTTAAATAAACTATAAAAGAGAACGACACAATTAAAATAGGTAAAAGATGTGAACAGACATTTTATCAAGGAAGACTATATATATATATATATATATATATATATGTATACATACATACATACACACATACACACACATATCCATATACATATAAAATGATTCTCAGCATAATATGTTGTGAAAAAAACTGTACTAATACAATTAGATTGCCCTAAATACCTACTTGGTGACTAGCTTAAAACACCAAAACCAAATGCTGGTGAGGATATGGAGCCACAGAAATGCATTCATCACTTGTGGGAATGTGAAATGGTACAGCAACTTTGGGAGACATTTTGGCAGTTCTTATAAAATGAAACTACTCTTACCATATGATCCAGCAGTCACACTCTGGTATCTATCCAAATGACTTGAAAATTTATGTTCACACAAAAACCTGCACACAAATGTGTACAGCAGCTTTATCCATGATTGCCAAAACTTAGAAGCAATCAGTTTGCCCCTCATTAGGTGACTAGCTTTAAAAAAAAAAAAAGGACTTGTGGTACTTTAAGATAAGATATTATTCAATACTAAAGATAAATGAGCTGTGGAGCCATAAAAAGACATAGAAGAAACTTAAGTGCATACTGCTAAGTGAGAGAAGCCATCCTGAAAATGTTACTCTGTGATTCCAGCTATATGGCATACTGTGAAAAGCAACATTGCAGAAAGCACAAGGATCACTGTTATCCAGAGTTTAGGGGAGACGAGCTTTAAAACTAGTTAGAAATGCCCATCTACCCCAGATAAGGGTATTTTGTTCCCCACCTTCTCTTCAACTTACATTTTTGGCTGGCTAAGATTTTGGCTGTGTGTGTGTGTGTGTGTGTGTGTGTGTGTGTGTGTGTGTTTGCAATTTGTATTTTTTCTTTTGAAATTTAAGATCTGCTTGCTGGGTTATCATTCACAGTTTTATTTATTTCAAATATATGTATAGTGTAAGAAAGGTAATAATGTCAAGACAGTATAAATTTCTATTTTCTATTTCTATGTTCTTCTCTACTTTGTTATAAACCTAAAACTGCTCTTTAAAAATAAAGGTGATTAAAAAAAAACAAACCACTGCATTTCTTTCAGAATCTCTGTCCTTCACCAAACTAAGTCAGCAGAATGGCTAAGATAGAAAGAATGTAAGAAAGACTGATTCTGAGTCTCCACCGGTGTACAGATTTGTTGGCAAAACTCATCCCAAATATTACAATAAGTGGAAACTTCTTCACCTTTCTCAAGTGCTATGCTAAGGAAAAAGATAAGGTTGTCCCCTATGTTTGAAGTCATACTAATGTTGTCTATTTAAGTAGAAACTTTGTTTAATGATTTGGGATATTATGCCATCAACTCAATGAAGGTGAGGTGATTTTCATGTTAAGAAGTACTTTTTCTCTTTAAGATTGCATTTTAAAATTAACTTATTAAAGTAGTAGAAAATAGAAATCTGATAGAGGTGTTGAAGAAGAATTCCCTCAGAAGGATAGATATAGATATCTACAGAGATGGTGGCAACACCTTGGGAAAGATACTGGGAAGGGGAAAATGCCCTGGGGGTGGAGACTGAGCCAGAAGAGGCCATAGGAGCTGGTAGTGACAAACTCATTGCAGAAGGCTGACTGGAGTAGCTACAGGCTCCAGTAGGTGGACATGGCTCTCTTTCCACCACCTACCGAGTGTGCTTTGGGAATCAATATGCTAACCTCCCGATCTGTCGATGACCTTCTATCGATAAACCCAAGCATAAAGCAGGGGCAAAGAGCAGCATTTGGATCTTCAGCAGAATGAAGCAGCTTAAACCTGAGGAGAAAAAGCATAGGACATTAAGAAATTCAATCCATTTGTTTAAACTTTTGCCATCTGCCTTTATGAAAATGTTAGGGAAGGTGTGAGTTATTTGTTGCCTCATAGGGCATTGGTAACACAGCTCAGAAAACAATGTGTCAGAGTTACCTTTGATTTTTTTTTATTCATTAATATCTACAGAGGAGAGGTGATAATCCGTGGTAGCCAAGTTTTCCTTTAGACTCCAAACTAGATAAAAATTTCTAGCAGAGGGCTATAAGGATATAGAATTCTTCATGTAAGTCTCAGTCTCAATACCAGAAAAACTCTACTCTCATCTGAGTAAATACAAAGCGTGGGTTTTCTGAACCATGTATGACAAGAACAATGGTCCTGTGGGTGGCAGTGGGATCCAAAGGCTCCACTGGGCTAATTTTAATATAAAAGTCAACGTTTCTTCCAAATGGAGAGACTTAGAGAGCTGAAACATGCAGAGTGCCCTTGAATTGGAAAGATGTTGCAGCTACCTAGACAGAGCAGAATCTATAGCTAACAAAGGAAATGACTGCTACTGGATATCACAATGGAAAGACAGCTATCCCACGTTCCATACTCTCTATTAGTTACCCTAATCCAGAGCTGTGCTGGGAAAGACAGAGAGGGCACACTTGAATTCTATTAAGGTCAGTTTCTGTCGCTTGTGGAAGAGGGGCTTGAAATGCAAATCAAATTTATTTGCAGAAAAACACATTTTTGGAATTGCTCAGTTTGTGGTCCAAGATTCTTACCTGCTATACTCATTTAGATGGATCAAGAAACTGAGGAGTTAAGTAATTTTCCCCTATTGGAAGAAACTAACTTTGCCATGTGTCTCCTATGCAAAGAATGCTGTCAGGTGATTTTTATGAGCTGAACTATGAGATGGGAGGGGACAACACTCAAAATAGAGCTACTTGGCAAGTGCTAGGTTGGAAATTGAAATTACAGCTATATGATAGGAGAAGTTGGTGCACGGTGGTTGATTGTCCTCATTTCTCGAGGATGCTGTCATAGATTAGTACAAATTTTAGTGGCTTAAAACAACTCTGACTTACTGCCTTGTAGTTCTGGAGGTCAGGTGTCCCAAACTGTCTTCAAGTGATAGTCAAGATGGCTTCACTCCTTCCCGAAGCTCCCAGTTGCAGTCTGCATCCTTGCTTCTTCAGATATCTATAGCTAGCCTTCTGAGGGAGTTCTTCTTCAACACCTCTATCAGATTTCTATTTCCTGACAGGAGGCAGATTGATAGATGTAACCTATTTTCTAAAGGATATATGAGGGGAAAACCCACAGAAACCTACTACTTTAATAAGTTAATTTTAAAATGCAATCTTAAAGGGAAAAGGTACTTCTTAACATGAAAATCATCTCACCTTCGTAGAGATGATGGCATAATATCCCAAATCATTAAACAAAGTTTCTACTTAAATAGACAGCATTAGAGCTGTTTCTCAGTACTTGATCTGTAGCTACTTCCAAGTCTGCAACAGAGTGTCTTCAGATTTTTCCCTACTGAGATCACCACATTGACTTCTCTTTTCCTTTGACATAGATCCCCATGATTACCATTTCACCTACATAATCCCAGATAAACTTCCTATTTCAAAACCTATGACTTGCTCTCATATGCCATACCCATTTGTTATGTAAAGTCACAGTCTTAGGTTCTATGGATTACAACAGGGATATCTCTTTGGAACCATTCATCAGCCTGTCATATGGTTCACCACAGGAGTGAGAGATGTATAGACCTAGGTACATAACTCAGATTAATTAGTGCATTCTGCAAGAACATTGTTTTTGAGCCTCATAGGATATGTGGAATGGATTAAAGAAATCTGTGAAGTGACATTGCTGTTTAACATGGCAGTTTGCTGGGAGACCCTAACTTAGAGTCTCTGGGGATCATGGCAAACCTATTGTCAAAACATGAGTGAGGCTCAAAACAAAAGCCTGTCTAGTTCCTGAAATATAGAAATTCCAGGAATGGAGAGAGGGGAGAGAAGAATAAGAAGGAGGAGGAGGAGGAGGAGGAGGAGGAG